TCAAAATTGTTTGTCTTACAACAGCCCCCCTCGATTCTTTGTTATCCGAAAAACTTTTCATCTCTACTCCTTTTCTCTCACTCGTGCTGTTTGCACGCCTTCCGTTTGGAGACCAACTTAAAGTTTACCAATATACTTACCCTGATGTTCTATCTACACCACTTGACGCCGTATTCTCTATTATGATGATTCGCCGCCGCAGATGATTTCCGTCAAAACCCACGGCAAAAGAATACATTTTACATTATTATTGTTATTAATTATTATATCTGATCTGACGTTCAGTAACTGATTCGTCGCGCAGTGTGTGGGCTGTGTAGCCACAGCGGTATTATAATAGTACATCTGAAAGGTCAAAGGAATGCGGGGTTGAAGTAGTTACCTACTCTAAACAGTTCCGTAACGCGACCACATTGGAGATTAAGCACTAAATTTTACATGGTTGTATTATGAAATCAATCGGCGTCAACGCCTGTACCAGACTACCTACTCGTTTTGAATTTTGGAAAATAACAACTTCAGTACTTGCTTGGAGTACCTACCTACTGATGTGTTTTAGTATATACACGGTTAACTTGTTCGTCAAGTGTGGGTTTAGTGTATTATATTTAAACAAATAATCTATAGAGCATTCATGCGCATTCAGTTTACGTCGATACGTGTAAAATCCTATCAATTAAATTTTAATGTAAAAAATAAATATAATAGTAATATACAGTAAGAATTTGTTTACTGTTACTTTAATAACGCAGATATTTATAACAACAGATATATTTTTATTGGAACGCATAGCAGTATTACTATTTTGAATGACATTTTATATGACTTCTTGTTGTATGAGTTACTTATAACTTAATAACATGCAAATAGAGTTGAGATGTTTTTAAATATATTAAAGATATTTTCAACATCAGTTCCCTCAAGGTGCTTTTGGAATTGAATTCTTGACCGAATGAACTAATGAAAATTAAATAAAAAAACGGACCGGCGATTTCAGGAACATAGTGGATATTTACATTAAAATTACACAAATATAAAACCTGCTGTACCTGTTCAGCTGAAGTTAAAATACCTACAATGCATTTCATTTTTGGTCGTAGTCCGATTTTGAAAACTACTTTTTCATGTTTCTGAAGGGTACTTTTTACATGTATGTATTTTACTGCGGTTTTATAGTATGTATTATATATTCTTTAATGCGTTTAATATATAAAAAAAGGGGACGTGATGGCAATGCGTATGGAAAATGTAATTTGATTAAGTACACTTATCCGGTATGGCCCTAAAAATGATTTCATATATTCGGTTACCTCAGCAGAAAAAGTCACCATGAACTTGATGTTATGTTACATAAGTACAAGTTCGTTTATTATAATATATGTATGAAATCGTCGACAACAACTACAGGTTGTTATAGCGCAACCGACAAGGCAAATCATGCGATTCATAATAGGCTCAAAACTAATAATAATCATTAAACAATAATTATGTTGAGAATATAATATATATTTGATAATTTGTTTTTAAATATCAATCAAACAAATATTTCTTATATTAATAATATAATATATTATAATAATATACATTTTGTATTTACTGTTGAAAGAAGTGTGGTTAAAATTTTTAAAAAACAAATTTTCAAGTAAAAACCATTAATAATCTTTGTTCATTATAATAATAATTACAGTTTTCATTTTGCCACAAACGAAATTCGAATTGTTCATTTTATGAAAATTAGTTGTGGATTTAATGTTTCAAAGCAGTAACATTAGAGTCTCAAGGATTAAACGGTTTAAATGATGTATTTTCATTAAAATTTAGTCGATGGTAAGAACATAAGTTTTCATTAATAATGAGTACGCATAAGACAGTTACGATTAAGATGTAATTTTAAATCTAATTTCATCTGGGATTACAATTTCTAAAAGTAAAGTAATCGCAAGACCGCATTTAATATCATACTTGAATACTGCAACAACAACTTAGACGGTTTAATGAAAACAATAATCCTACGTTTGTATAGCTCGAAGACGCTTTGATATATATTTCGATTTTTATTAAATTAACAATATAACTTTTCAATTTGTATTTTTTTTTTGACTTGTTTAAACATTTTTAAAGAATTCTTCAGATTTGTTTTGTATATTTTGATATGTAACTAGAAAAAGCATTGTATTGCTTAGTAATATTATACAGCCAGGAATAAAATAATGATTACTATAACAATTATTTTTTTACAAGTGTCATTATATTTGTTTGTATACAACAAATATTTAATACAAAATACCATACCATACAAAATTATTATTGCATTAAAATAATAGTATGAATTGATTGAATGATTTAAAGTCGTACATATTGACTCTTATTCAGTTAATTTTTTTTTTATATTTTGGTTTTAAGTTGAAAAATACAAAACGTATTTTACTCAAATTGCATAGCATTTGTTACCACATATCACAGTATTAACTACAAAACTCTTTCTCTTTCTTTTTTAGAAATATATATTTTGATCCACGTTTTAGTTTTATAAATTAAGTGTATGTGTTGTAGTATTGCAAGTTTAAACGTGTACCTACATTTTATGTAAATCCGACGTGCATACGGTATAATTATTAATCAGTTTCGGTGTTATATACATACATGCTACATTTTGTATTAATTCCAAATTGTAAATAAAAAAAAAAAATACTTGTATGTTTCATCGCCATCATTTTTATATTAAAAAAAAAAAAAGATATTTAAACAAATAAAATAATAATTAAGGTTTAAATGTAATTCTACTGATCAATTCGGACGAAAACCCGTAATTCTGCTGGACTAAATGGCGCGTTCCACAATTCTACACTTGACGAATTTCCATAAATCATTTTCGGTCTTTTTATTTTACATGTAGCTATAGATATGTTCATGAAGAACGGTACCCGGTTCTAATAACAAACTACACGGCGAAATTGTGTTATGTTATGAATTTTAAATCTCAAAGGTCTTCATAGCAATGTGGAGTGGTACTCGGAATGCCTATACTGTCGTGTTGTGTGGGGTTGACATATTTAATAATATAATATTGTAAAGTGTGATAAAAACTTTTTTTACCATCTCTTCGGCCATTTTTATTATGCGTATAGAACTTTTAATCACAGCCATACAAAACTATAACTGATAATCGCAACTTTCCCCACACACCAGGTTATATTGTATATAGTGAGCGAAAATGAATAAGTTATCGCAGGGAAAACTTCCAAAAATCAATAAAAAAAAATGGCACAACAAAATAGAAATTTAATCATGTAATCGATGTTGACTTACTAGAAATAAGAAACCCGATCTCGTGCAGTATATTATAAAATACACAATGCCAAGTAATTTGAAGTTCGAATTTCATATTGCTACTAAACTAATGAAGAAGCAGTCAACTTTGATCCAGTACACATAGAATTCTCTTGTTTATTTTTTTTTTATCAAATTACAAAAAAAAAAAAAATCCTCTAGTTTAAGGCTTAAGTTTATTTTAGTGTTAACGACAACCTATCAACAAAATTATTTAAAAGTCAATTTTGAGATGGTCAAAATTATGGATGGTAAAAATAGACAGATAACATGAAATTTATAAAAATAATAATGGTCCTTTGAGTATTAATCAGTTTTGCATCTAAGATAAAAATAAATACCGAAGCCAGAAATATTTGTTTGAATAAAAAAACGTAACTATAAGTATTGGGAAGTTTTTCAATCTAAACTTTTATGAATAATATTTTAGTCTATACTCAGAGATCTAATCAATTAGTATGAAGTTTTTTGAATTTTGTACTTATACAAATACTTATTACAGATTACTAGTTATTTTCAGTGTACTAGTATGGCATATTTTTATACAGCAATCTTAGGTATTAGAAACAAAAAAAAAAAAAAGAGTTGTTTCAGCTGACAAAGAGTGTTATATTGATTGGTATGATACGTATGTGATTTTTTTTTTAAATACAAATTTTTGTCATGTTAAATTTTAATTTAATTTAAATGTTTCGTTAAAAACAACCAACGTTAATAAATACCTTCTGATATTTTTGTATAAAATGTGGAAAAGAGTGAAAAAGAAACTTTCTAACATAAATCATTTGAAGTCTAATTTTCTCAGTATAACATATTAAATTTCATCGAATAATGTTCTGCATTCATCGTAGTATACAGTGATTATACATTAGTAAGTATAAAATAGATTTACAGTTTTTAATTGTTTGTACCGTTGTATACGTTCGTACTTCTAAGAAATTAATTAAGACATTTCACTCTGTTAAATGTATTTTAATAATGTATGTTACCGAAGCTTATGGAAAAAAAATGTTTTTTAATTAGTGGTGACTGGTCTGATGCCAGTATTAGGGAGCTAAGCGTTTTTCATTGGTTAACAGTGAAGACTAATTATTTGTTTTAATCTCATGCCTGACTTTAAAAACTTTTTATTTTTGAATGACGTTTTAGACTTTATCATATAATTTCAATGTTGACATTCTGCTGTTTTTAAATATATATTTATTAGCTCTACTTAAACGATAGTGTAATGTATTTGTTGTGTAAGTACTTCTAATAGTATGATTAACATACTTGCCTGCGATGATATGTAATGTTTCCAAATATATATACATAGAACAAAACTAATAATACAGATATTGTTTTCATTATCAACTGGGCTGTCCAGTCTGGACAAAATGTCAAGGTTTTTTGTAATCTGTAGTTTTCATTATTATTATTTTATTTGCCAAAAGTTGAATGATATTTAAGTTCAAGGTTCAATATTGCTATTAAACGTTTCTCATCAATTTTAGTTGTTTTATAATGCTATTATAATGTGAAGATTATAATATGGCATATATCTATTTTTTTATTTTTTTTTAATAAAACTGGTTGTTAAATAAACTAGTTACTGTAAAGTGATATTATTTTATTGTGTGCTAGAAAATAATAATTATAATCTTAGTTTTTGTGTGGTGGTCAGTTGAAGCATATAAATATTGGGCTGGGCACCAGAAAAGGCATCAGTAAGTTACTATCGTCGCTTGCCATTACAGCTAGTTTTCCAGTTTAACCAAACGAAACAAAACCAGCCACCAACATGTTCAAGTTAATCGTAAGTGCATTATTCATGGACTACTTTAATAATAATGGTAATTGCTAGCGTAGCAAGTGTCTTTGTTACTACTTTTTTTATTTATATTACAATCGACGCCTCATATAAAAATAATTACAATAACTTAAAATTATATAATAATACATTAACTTAAAAAAAATTATAACGTTTTTTAAAAATTTTGAGTTGTTGCAAATTTTTTTTGGAATATCAATATTATTATTTACTTTGGGGTTTTCTTTTTTTTTAATTTGGAAAACTTATATTTCAAACTTTAATTGTCAGTTACACTTCTATTATTGGGTTCTAAATAACCGCGTTTTTTTATTATTATAAAATTGTTAAATATGTTATAAACATTATATTATAAGAAAATATAAAGCTTAATTATTCTCAACACAAAAATAGAGTAATTTCGTCGTTTTGATTGTTAATTTTTACAATAGTTTGTTAGTTTTTTGAAAATTCGTTTGGTATTTATCTACACAATTTCTTGAGTTTTAGTTCTTAGTATAGCATGACTCGAATAATAGTGTGACTATATTTCTTTGTCTTTAATTACTACATCTCTACATTATGCACAATTTAATGTATTTTTTAACAACATGAAACTCTAGACACTAAACCAAATGATTATGTATTGTTTTTTAAATCTCATTTCACATTTTAAAATAGAATTTAGGTCAGACTTCCAATTTGTATAAAAGTGTAATACAATGTAAATATTAAAGTCATTTATATTGATTTTCTATTTTTATAAGTAAACATTTTGGCAGTGTCATAGATGTTATTAAAATGATTAAAACTAAATGTTATTAGTTATAACAATAGAAGCAAAATATTATTTACATTTTTACCAGGATTTGGCGTAGATCAAATGTATACTCATTACTGTTTATATGTTTTTAGTTTTTGGTTGTTGCTGCCCTTGCCTTGATCGCCGTAGCAACTGGCCAATCGCTCTACTACCCAAATACTTACAGATACCCGGCATACGGCAACTACTATCCGGTATACAACTACCCCATGTCTTCTTACTCTCCGTGGTCTCTGTACCGCTGATGGATCAACAATGATTTGAATCTACTTTCTTCGTTTTCTTTTTCTTATACCGACTGTAAGTAAACCGAAACACTGTTTTTATAGCTTTTTAATTATCATATTGTAACTAGAAGTCAGTAGGAGTGTTTTTCTTCAAGTCACTGTTAAATTATTTACTTAACACTGACTGTATTTTTTCCAATAAAATTGTTTTCTTTCTATTTTTAATACAAACATGCTTGTAATATTAGATTTATTTTTATTTTTCAGAACCTCCAGAGACCTTAATACGGAATCTTGATAATTTTTATTTCATTTTAAAAAATACTAACAAATAAAAAACTATATCTATCAATCAAACTTGGCTTTTTATTTTTTCCAGTCTTTTGTAATATAATTAAGAAACTTTTGCACGAAGTATGTATTCCTAATAAGTTCAAAATACGACCTTCGATAATTGGGTAATTTATATAATTAGCCGTCACGCCACAGCCAATGTTGTGTGACATTTTTATGTCCTTAAAACAATTTTATATCGAAAAACTCTAAAATGATTGTCATTTTTCTAGATGCTTAAACTAGATTTACATACAATGCTTACAGTAGAATTTAAGACACCGGCCGACATCGAAGTAACTATTGTGTATGGGTTTTAAAATTATATACTCTGTGATTGGCTATTTTTCATATCTTTAGAGTACAGGGTCATATTTCCTACTAGGCGAGGTTTGTTCAGCAGGTACGTGAAACTATCAACGTCGTGTCAGCTGAATAATCAAAAGGTCCTTTGGTAGTACGATATTTTTAAAATGTGTTTAACTTCTTAATGTACAAAAGGGTTGTTGTACAGTTACTGACCTGGAATGTAAATAGCCCTCGGGAATCGAACAAACCGAAATAACGTGCTATTTCGTTCTGTACGTTAATGACATGGCCAGAGACCCCGGAGACACGTTTAACTGCGAGTTGATACCGATGGATTTGTCTCTTTGGTCGATTTCGTGAAATTCTAACAGCAGTTAGCGAAGGTTGACCGAAGTAGATTTGTTAAAGCCGTCACTCAGCTACATTAGCTTCACGTTAACGAGTTTTCATCGCAGCCAAAACAATGCTGTCGGGTTTGTTTATTATTTAAAAAATACTCGGGCATAATAAAAATACTTACTCGCGGTTCAAAATGTGAACAAATTCGTTTTGCTCGTTGTACAATAATATAATATTGGTATTTCTTCAAAATAGGGCTAACAAACAAAAAAATGTATACATACATAATAATAATTATTATTATTAACAGTAATAACTGTTTAACATCGAATATAATGTATGTGTATGTATTTATTTACAAAACCAGGTATCAAGTGAGACAGTTTGTTGTAGAAAATACAATAATTATGTCTTTGATCATATTATGAAATATAGTTTTACTATAAAGTAAAAATCACTAAATGACAGTTAATTGTTAGCAGGTAATATAACAATATTAATAATATGTAATTAAGTAATTTAATCGTTTATGAATGAGATTAACTAAACATTTTAATCAAAACTTGTATAAAATGGTTGTGAAATGGATTATTTTTTATAAAAACTGATGGAATAGTAGTTTTCAAGTAGAAAGAGTTTTGAATGTATTCAGTAAGTATATTTAAGCTAATCTGTAAGCGGAAACGAATTTTTTAAGTTTTCTAAAAGCTTTTTAATTATATATGTACCTTAGCTCGTTTTAATAATTAAACGAATCAATTCACGGGTGATTACAAATTTCATTAAAAAAATATTAAAAGTCAACTTATTTTCCTATAACACGATATTATAATTTATGAGGAAAATACCAACTTTGGTTAGATTACTTTTTCCTAATAAACAAATTTCACTACAGATTTTTTTAATTAGCTAAAAATAAATATTACCTTATGTATTATATTAACTTATCAAGTTCAAAACACTCTATTGAGCATTTTGATCGGCTGGAAAATTCATAATATTCTAAAAAAAAAAATAAACAAAAATATTTAAAAAAAAAAGTAAGAGTAACCAACTCTTATAAATTCGTATCAACTTATATTATTATTAATGTTTACGACTTTTATCAAAAAAAAAAAAATTAAAGTTAATATTTAAAAACTTTTTTAACAGTGTTTGTTTATGTTTCGGATACACAAAGTTCTAAAGACTAATAAAGACTATAAAGTTTTGTTCATATCGCACTGTATACAGCAGAGTATAAAGTATATTATCATAAAAGTCGTATGAATTATTAACAAAGTAATAGACAAGTGCTTTGTGTAGGAGTGAGAACTGATTCAAGACAACGTAGTTTTTAAATATATTCCATGTCAGATGATGTATAGGCGTTCTGTACAAATTAATATCCTATAACAAAATAAATTTCTTTTATAATGTGAAAATATCCTCCCCTCGAGTCAATTATATTAATATATAGAGGTGAATAAATTAGGAGATCGCGAGTTTTTCCTGTTATTTGTCTACCAATACGATTAGTTTTAGTCGTTTTTCATTCAACTAATTGTACCGTGCTCACAGTAAGAAGGGTAATTCGTTTAAGAGAAAGTTTGTATTCGTTTATTTAATATTAATTACCACATGCGAGGCAGAGAGTTTAAACTACCAAGATGAATACTTTAAGACGTGTTATTTATGTTTGGCAAATATGAGAGAAACGTATTCGAGAACACAAATACAAATATCGTGTTATCTGTAACACCTAATATTAATGGTTTTAATTCTCAACTAATAATTCTTAATATAAAACTGTTATCTAACATAGTTTTTAATCTTTTACACACGTTTACCGACAATGAGTGATTCTACAATATTAACATTAAATAGTTACCGTCGTGCAAACGTTGATTAAACAACAATGATATTTTTGTCCGTTGAATAATAGCAGGAACGCGTTTTAAATAATTAAAAAAAAAAGCATTCTTATGAAAGATAGTCATATTTTATACGGTCGAATAAACAACGATAAATAACGCCTACAGGTTGTACCAATATTTCAAATGTGCCCCAGCATCGTTTTAGTGATTTACAGGTGTCCGAGTTCCCGTTTTACAAATTACCTTTCCTATAAATTACGCATGCCCTGCTTTAGCTTGCACCCCATCGACTTTCATTTCATCTCCTTCAATACCCACTTGAACATAATAAGTCTATATAATATATATATACAAAACAAAAAAAATCTTAACATATATACTCTTTATCTGATGATAAATTCTCCACGACAATAGAGAACGAAACACAATCTAAATAAATGTTACAAACAGATGTCATACTGTGGTAAAATCGTAGTCTATTACTGGTTAATCGTATGACATTACATTATATGTACTTAGTAGAGAGATTTGAGATTTCACAATTAGAGTTACACAGTTGGGTTTGGTACGTTAAACGTATGTTATCACGTTGTGGCGAAGTTGGTACTGACTACCATCGCACCTCTATTACATTTTTGAAAAAGTACCAAACTACAAAAGATAAGGCGAAGACTTTATTTCGTACAAAACGAAACGTTGATAATTTCTAAGTAATTCTAACCTTACTTTGAAGTATAAACTTACACCTTGCCGATATTATCTTGATTGCCTTTAGTTAACTATAATATAGGATTTTTAGAAAACCGTTAATTTTAAAATCAATGACGACACTAGAGTTTTGTGTAATTGTTATTTTTTGTGATTCTATGACAGTTTTTAGTACCTATTTTACCTTTAATAATATGTTTTTTTGTCAATCTTTTACTATTTTTTATTTAGGGAAAACTGTGGGAAATGTAATATAAATTGTAAATTGTAGAGTGTAGACCACAACTAATATTAGCTAAAATTAAAACGTTGTTTTATTTGAAACAATCTTTCGTTGTATTTTCCAAAATCTCTGTAGTGTTCCATAGAATATCGTAAATCAGAAGTACTTTAAAAAAAACATAATAATAATATAATAAATTGTTAAGGAAAAAAAAATTCATCCTAAGCAAACGAAGACACTGAAACATTCTACTTGACAGTCTACGAATGAAAAAATATTAACATTGTGTTAATCTATACCTATCAGTTAACACCTAAGTCACTGCAGAGATTTATTTCAATTTTTTTTTGGCCCAGGGCTAATAATTTTTGCCCCCCCCCCCCATCCAGTAGCGGTTTTATACATATTCTGAAGGGGAAGAGGACAAAAAAATTGTCGACACACAAACTTCATCTAAATTTTTTTATATGCACTTTTCATTTATTATTTAATCAGTAAAAAGTAGCCTAAGTTGCCCTCGGGCAATCCACTCCTTGCCATCATAAAACCGTCAGTGCTCTCATCTCTGCAATGAAAGTCTATTGCATCATAAATTATAATAGACTATAGGCATACAATTTATGAAAAATACACAAACATAAAATAAACAATTATCTTTATATACAGGGTGATTTTTTTTATCATGGGCCACTCACATTATCTCACTGGGTTTAATTAATAATTTAATTTTTTTTTCTTAGTGTTTATATAATGTGATCTGCGTTTTAAGACCAAAAATAATTAAGTATCATTTCCATTAGAAATAAATAACTGTTTGATAAAAAAAAAGTGATCCATTATATTGTACATAATTTTTTTTTTTAGACCACCATTATTTTTTAAATTTGACGCCCAGGGTTATAGCCTTGGTTAGCCCTAGGGTAAATGCGTCACTGTTTACAATATGTATAATTAAGTTGTACTTATACAAAAGTCATTCATTGTGAATTTTACTTAGAATTCGCCCAATTGTATATATATTTTTTATTATGTATGTATTCATCGCCAATCCACTAACTTAATACTTATTTTTATTTACAAACAAACTAATCGCATTACTGAACTCGAATTATTTCCCGAATACAACAAGAGAATTCACCATCGTTAATGTAATATAATGATGTAACTTCAACCAACTCCAATCGTTTCAAACCAACAACTTTATCCATTGAAACGGTGCTAAAAAAGATAAGTAAAATTTAAAAGCAACAATTACGATTTACTTTGATATTATAATATTAAAGAAACCGACTTCATTAAATTCATAATTTTATTAAAAAACGTGTTTGAATTTAATTGTCAATTTTATATAGCATTATTTTAACGCGGCGCACTATTCATTTCTATACTCACTAATTAGGTATGAAACTATAAAATTCATACTATATGCTCTATGGCAACGCTTTGATTATAAAATAGTTTACTTAGTTCTTCTTCAAAGCATAACGTCTGTACATGTTGTTAGTATAAAGTCTGTTCATAATATATAATTCCGTTAGCATTTTAATTGTTGCGCATTCATTTCGGAACTCTCATACAAATGTTAAAAC